GGGGTGACCGGGCCGCCCCGGCTGTCAGGGTGGCTGAGAGGAGGGGTTCGTGCTCCGTTCGGTGCGAGCGGCCCCTCCGCGGCTGTAAAATGGCGTCTGCGCTGCACGGTCGTTTCCGCTCCCCTCCCCCCGCTGGTCTGGCCACTCCACGGCTTTGCCCGCCTCCTCATCGGTCCCTGTCGTGAGGCCACCAAAACAGAAAGGGGCGAAGGCGGCGTGTGGGGGATAAAAATAATCTTCTAATTCTTCTTCACGGACACTTTAATTAAATATGTTCTGTCTTCATGCGATGCCATGAATTCAAGGAGATTATCCTTAATGATTCTCTTCTAATGTAATGAAAGATTGACTTCGAACAATTGTGAGAGGGTTTTGTTTTACCTGATGTTTCGGCAAAGCTACAGAAGGAGATTTACCCAATCCCACAAACACGTGCCCAGCATAAGCACTGCATACAATAGTCAAAATACTGATGTTTAAAGTTCAGCACTTGTGTAATGATTTGTAAATCATATCTTGGTTTGTAAACTTAGTAGCGTTTCTAATATTAAGTATATTAGAATTTATTCTGTATACTGGAATCATCTTTTCAATGTCTCTGTAGGAGGAAGGAACAAGAGATTTGTCTTATGGCTGTTCCAGGAAAGGCGGCAGCTTTCCATCTGCCTCCCCTGCCAACTGTTGGAGAGATTATTAAGCTCTTTCGCCTTAAAGCACAGAAACAACTTTCCCAGAACTTTCTACTGGATTTGCGATTGACAGGTTAAATATTTTATTCTAATATTTTTAGCTACTGTAAAACATGTATCCCAGTTTTCTTCACAATCCAGGTTCTAGCTAAGGAGATGATGTTTGCATGATTACATCTGTCAAACTCATGACAGCTCAATGGTAAACCTTTAAAAACGTCTTTTAAAAGTAGTTTTAGCTTAGATGAATTGATTCTACTTGTAAATTCCTAGAAATGTGTGTCTTTATAAATTATAGAGTAATTTTTAGATAGAAACTATATTCCTATATAAAATATGGGTTATTGATTGAAACACAAAAATCTAAGCCTTAGTAATACTTTTACCATGCAGGTACTATTCTATTTTATAAGTTTGATTCAAAAATGAGTATTTTTTTTCAGTTTATTATGTATCATAGAAGGTACTGTAACTCATTGTGCAGTTTAATTTAGTATATACTGTGGTTAGGAAGGTAATTTGTTTCAGTTTATCAGAAACATTGCAGCTTTTTTGAACCAGTTACGTTGTTTTGAACAATTCAATTTTTTCCAGCCTCACGTCAGCAACGGGTGACAAAGTTGTCTCTGTTCAATCAGTGGTGGGTTTTCTTTACTGTCCTAGTGGTGGCTGGGTTTTGAAGTAATAAATGCAGTGCAGCTTCATGTAGCTGATGATTTGATTACATTTGATGATTCAGGTTGGTAAAGATTTAGGACATGAACATGAAACTCTGTTCCACTACCTGAATAACTGGAGTTTTGAAATAAAAATATCTGCATGCATTTAGTAAAACCTTATAAATAGACAAGTCTTCAGATATTTCGTGGTTTTATTGCACACTTAAGAAATTATGGAGTGTGCAGCATAATTTCTGTCAGCATCCCTCTCTTCATGCTTCCTAAGAATCTCTTTGTTTTGTTAGCTACATTTTTAATCCTTATTTTATTTCTTTTTCAATCCTTAATCTGTTTTCTTTCCTGGCTGTAATGTCTTTCAGTGTTGTATCCTTCCACTTAGGTACAGGTATTTTCTCCTTATCTTTCAGCTGCCTCACTTTCTGTAACTACCAGTTGCCAATATTCCATTTTTTACTTTACTCCATCTCCTCCCTCATAAAATTGCTCTGTACATACTGTAATCTTCGTAGAGCTTCACTGTATCATTTTTGCTTCCTAAATTTCCTTGAAACAGAGGTACTGTATTGAAACACCTTTATAAGGATAAGTAGGAAGACTTTCAGGTGTTGAGCAGAAGTGCTTACTTGCAGGAGGAGAATAGTACTCCTAGTTTAAAGATGATAATTTTCTCTTTCTTAGATTCTGTAATGAGCAACAATGTATATTAAAGCCATTAAACTGGAAATAGTCTTTTTTAAACAGTTGAGCATACCTTGTAGTATGAAACAAATCTGAATTCTGTGCAGTCTGGCAGGCGTGTGATCATTTAACTGGAATGTGTCACTGTTTGTGTCTGTTCTGAGATAAGCACACTTGTGCTTTAACAATAAACAATGAGTTTATCTTAGTAAGCTGGATCATTTGGAGAATAAAGGCTTAGTATGTTCTTTGTGTCTTGCAGACAAGATAGTGAGACAAGCTGGTGAGCTGAAAAATGCCTATGTTTGCGAAGTGGGCCCTGGGCCAGGAGGTATTACCAGATCCATTCTTAGTGCTGGTGTTGAACAACTCCTTTTAATTGAAAAAGATGCTCGATTTATTCCAGGATTGCAGGTACCGTCTGGAGAATGGTTTGTATAAATGTGTCGACAACGTTGAATAAGAACATTTTCAAAAAAAACCCAGAAAGGTTCTGAGTGTTTTGTTGAGATCTCAGCATTGAAAATAGGTTTTGCTTCTTTGGCTTAAATCAGAGCTATCATTTGCTTGAAGATGAAAATACACAGTATAGCAATTAATTGTTCCTGCTTTCTCATATGAGTTTTCATTTAAATACCCATTGGCTCTTCAGGACCTGATTCTGCAACTGAATTAATGCTGAGGCCTGCCTGTTCTTTTTCAGGTTGAGATGTGTCAGGTTCTTTAAAGGTCTATCCATGCAGGTGAAATAGTAGTTTGAAGGCTGAACGTAATGTCCTTTGTTCTTATTTTTCATTTTAATCCTAATAATTATGCTTTAAAGCTTATAAAATTGTGAACATACATCTCCAGTTAACATAGTTCAATGTGTATTAACATCCAGAATAGAAGACTAAAGTAAGCATTTATTTTACATATTAAAAAAACCCCACCACACTTAAACTTTCGTTCCTTTCTTTTGAAGTTGTTATAAGCTCACAAGTCATTGTGACATTTTTCAAATACCGTGTACTTGTTGCTATTAAGTTTGCATGTTTATGGAATTTGGCTGTATAAATCTAGCAAGAAAAACAGAGTCCGAAATCTCTTTGTATTTGACTGTTTTCTTGTGCCTCTTCAACCTCAAATCATAGCAATTCAAAGGGTTTTCCTTATATTACTCTTTGTCTTCTATAGTAAAGCAGCAGTGAAAATAAATAGGTAGTTCACTTGAGAACTGATACCGTCTCTTTGTAGGACGATAACAATGTAAGTTACAAAAGAAACTGCACATATCTTTACACTTGAATATGCTTGTAACTGACTTTTTGTGGTTAGCCACTGATAGTTTACCGTATGCCACCTTTATCTTATGAAGTATGGAAACTTCATGTTTTCACTTTTATTGAGTGGTGGCAAATCTGCATTTTTGTTTTGAATTTTAAGAACTGTTTTGGGATTTGAGAGAATACGAGATTAAATGATACTTACTTTAGTTAACTGAGTTTTTTAAGTACTTAAGACAATACTTCTGGTCTTCAAAAATGAAGCCACTGCAATAGATTTCTCTGAATAAAAGTATACTTTCCAGGGTCTATTATGAGCTTTTGGTATGTAATCATCTTTACTATTCAAGTGAATTAACATTAGTTATTATAATTCATTAGCAACCTCTTCATAGTAGATATAAGTATGTCAGAATGAGGTTATTGAATATAAAGATGCTGTAACTCAATAACGGTGGATGTGAATGAACAAGAAATACATTGCATCCATTAGTGTTAAATTTGGTGTTGTTTTTTTCCCCTCCAAATATGATACATAACAGAATTAATCTCTTTTGTGATAATGTGGGTTGTAATGCCTATTTTTTTCTAGTTTTCCATTAAAGGCTCTATCAAAACCAAATGCTCATGAAAGGGTTGATATCTGAATAACAGAAAATGTCAGACATTAAAATAACAGTCGGGGACTGTTACTTAAAAATGTCTCTTTAGATACTTATAAAATCACTGACATAAAGCATACAGCATTTTTCATTAGCTGTGTTTCAGGCTGTGATCTCTATCAGAAGACTGAAGTTGGAATCCTCTTTACTGCAAAACTGAAATATAGTGAAGAACATATGTGTACAGAGCAACAGTTACACAAGCTGAAAACCTCTCAGTTCTGTCTCACTCTTTAAGAGTCCCAACCTCCCTATGCCATATGCCCTAATAGTTGTTAGGCTGGAAAGACTTATGAGGAGAGAAAGGGTGCTCTCAACAAGAGAGTGAATTGAATATAGAATTCTTCCAGGAGCACCATTTCATCTTTTAAACTATGCCCTTTATGTTTTCCTCCTGCCCTTTTGGTTGTGAACCAAAGAGAAGAAGAGAATCTGTGCGATGGAGAATACTTGGCTCATGTGCTTGGAGCACAAGAGCTCCTAGAACTGTGTTAGGTGCACACATTGGCCTTAAATTAGAGAAGGTTTCTGAGTCTTTATTTCAGATTAGAAATGTCCAACTGTGGTTTTCTGCTCACAAATTAATGCAGTTCTCAATTATGTTAAGTGTGATACTGAAAAACACCCAAACTCCTCTTGACATTAAAACCATTATTAAACAATATGTGTTAATAATCCATTATTGTGTAGTCAGCTGTCTACTTCCTCTTATGCTGTTTTCTAACTTTATTGCTCTTACGTTATCTTTCATCCTATTATAGCATTTATAGCAGCTTCAAAGAAAGATTTGACAAATGGCAGATCAGTAAATTTGAATGCAGTATAATTGCTAGTGTTATGCTGAAAAATCTGTTAACTAAGTTAGATTTATTTTTTTCAAGTTGGAAATAATTGCACTTAAAACATGTAGGAACATTTAGGTTTTAGTTAAGGATTTATTTAATACTCTCACAGAATTTAGATGTTTTGACATCAAACAAAAAAAAAATCATGCAGACGTTTTGTGAGCAGTATGAGAAAGCAGCACTTCCCTTGGGCTCAGAGACCTGTGAAAGCTGTTTGTGACCCTGAGCATATTAATATGATTTAGATTGAAGGTGAAACTAACAATGGTGAGCAGTTTATTTTGGCAGTTAAGCCACTAGCATTTAACTGTTTATGGATTTGGATTTCTGTGCAAAAGCAGAATTGTTCTTTAAGACGTTTTTCATTATTCTGACTTAGGAACAATAAATATCCCCAAATGCAGTCTTTGTAAAAGTAGACTTTGCTTTTGAATTATGCTGTTTGTGCATAGTTTCATATTGTAAGAGAAAAGATTCGTACAATACTAAAAACGTAACTAATTTTGATTGTGTAAACTGATACCAGAAATGAAAGAATTGGTCATCAAACTACAGCTGGTTCTGAGTTTGCATTTCAGTGTTTATTAAATACTAGATAAGCTGCAGAAGTGGGATGGAGAAACTGGCAACAGAGTGGATTTTGTAATGTCTAACAAGATAGGAATTTTTGAGATTTTCTCTAATGCTAGATATTCATTCCTTCATTTTTGGGAACTCCTTGGTTTCTAATGGTGTGAGTTCAGACTACTGCAGGGAGTATTTCCCCCCTTTTTTATGTCAAAGAAAAAATATTTCCCCCCTTTTTTATGTAAAAGAAAAAATGACTGAATATTTCTGCAGCCTTGTATCACATATGGCTAAAATTGTATAATAGACCCTACAGCTACAGGGGAGACAGAATAAACAATATGAGCCTTGTTTCCATAGGTAATGGATCTAAAGACTGCTGCTTGCATTATTACATAGATCAGGTGGGGTCCTATTAGTGGCCCAGGGTTTGTTAATTGTTCTGTGTTGAAGAGCAGTATTTTCAGGTTTAAATTCCATATTAAGAATTCTACAGCTGTGAATAGTAAGCATTTACAGAATCACTCATTAAATTTTTTTGTTAGTGTTCATTTTTTTGGAGGTAAATACTTACTAACAGTGTTCAGTTTTAACTGCTATTGTGCTTTTTTGTATATTGAAGATAAACATATAGCAATGGTTTCATTCTTGCTGTGGCTGAAGCTGGAAATCACTTTGGTTAATACTCACTGTGAATTCTGCTTGCTTGCTTACAAACAGATGTTATCAGAAGCAGCTCCAGGAAAAGTACGCATTGTTCATGGAGATATTCTGACATATAAAATGGAGAAGGCTTTTCCAAAGCACTTAAAAAAGAACTGGGAGGATGGTTAGTATTTGCGTTTGGTATGTTTCATTTTTAAGGCTTCTGAGTTAGTCTTAGGTGTGGTGATATAGTTGGGAGTTCACTCAGTGCTGGTGTTTCTCTTTCTCTTCTGGTACGTTCTGAAGGTAGGAGAGAGATGAGCTAACTTTCTTCCTTTCTAGAAGGAAACAAAGAATCCTATTCCTCTTCTAAGATAAAGCAATGGAATTTGTGTGACATTCACCTTAGTCAACATTATTGAGGAGCTTTGCAGTTACTAACCATAGCATGTCTTAACTGTACAATAACGACCCATGGAAAGTATAAAAGCAAATCATATTATATACTTTCTTCCCAGCTTCTTCCTCTTTTTGAAGAAGCCAGAAGCCACTACTGCTCTAGTTCCACTGAAGAAATTTCTGTAATTTTTTTTGAAACTTTTAGGCAATTTGTCCTCAAAAATTTAATTTACTCATTGCACTGGCTTCAGCTGCATATCTTTAGCAAAAGTGGAATCTAAACAGAGATACTTTTTTTCATCTGAGGTTGTCACTGGACTCAATTTCACCTCCCTTTGAAGTTATGTTATAGTATTAGATAAATCAGAGATGACCTCCTAGGCCTCTTTTCCAAATTTCTGAATTTAAGGTAAAATCACTGTCTGTAGTGCCTGAAGAACAGTAAACTGCTTTCTGACTTAGGACATAAAAGATTATGCCACACGTTATGTTCATCTTGAAAAATTCCATGCTGTATTTGCCTTGTTGCAAAAGGTAAGTTCTTCACAAAACAAAATGATGAGCAAATGCACGTATGAAGGTGTAGCACAGTCTTTAAAAATTTACCTGTCTTGAACATACATATAAGTCATTGTTGTCTTTGGAGCTAACTATTTAGAGGTAAAATATACTTCTGCTGCGTTATTGCTATATGAAAATCTGAAAGGCTGGTGGATTTCAGAAAAACACTTAACCATCTCTGATGTATGTATAATATCAGAAATATGCCAGAAATGCCACAGCCTAAAAAGTGCATAATAAGTAAAGTGTGCCAGAAAACCAGCTTGAATTTGATATTATCATGTCTTATTCATCTTATTAAATGCTGTAGTATCTAAGAAACGACAACACGCTTTTGTTTGTTTCGATTGTACTCCTGCTTAAGATCCCCACTAATGAAATGCCTGCTTTGTGTTGTACAGCACGTATATACTGATACAATACATATTTGAACAATACATATCACTTCTTACGGCTAAGTCTCGTACTTGCTCTAAGACCTCTTGATTTCAGAGGACTGTGTAGAGAAGGAGAGCTCTGCTCCGTTTGAGCTAGGTGATTGTTTTGGGAATTGTGAAGACTCATTAGAAAGCCCCTGGGAGGAATGTGTTGGACAGAAGGATGAGTGTGGCTATTTACTCTGTGCCAAATAGTCATAGTTTAAAATCATGGAAACGCTGTTGTAGTTTTGCTGTTGTTACAGTTTTGCTATGTTGGAGTAACTCAGCTGAAATCTACCGATCAGCTGAAAATCAGCTGAAAGCTAGTGATTTATTCAAATGTAAATGAGAACCAAACCTAACCACTTTTTTCCAACTAATTACTGAGAATAGTAACAGTTTTGTCAGTGTAAGACATGTATAAATGGAAAGGCATAATTTTGGCATAGCAGGGTAAAAATCTAAAAGTCTAGGTTGATATGTGCATATCTTTCTTACTTACTTGTTCTTGGCAAAATCTTATCCAAAACTTTTTAACAGTTGGGTTTTCTCCATCAAATGTTACTAGAGCCACCAGATATCCATATCATTGGGAATCTGCCCTTCAGTGTTTCAACTCCTCTAATCATCAAATGGCTTGAAAATGTTTCCAAAAAGGATGGACCTTTCATTTATGGCAGGACACAGATGACATTGACTTTTCAGAAGGAAGTTGCAGAGGTAAGATGTTACTGTTTTCCCAAAATTTTAAAGATGTTAAATTGAACAAATCTCTGTTCACATGCAGTCTTTTGTTTTAAAGTACAAACCCAATCTTATTTGGCTTTAGAAAGAGAGGAAAGAGTAGGTTCGAATTTTAGTTTATGGGGCTGTAGGTTATCAATTTTAATGTTGAGTTAATCGTCTGCTCTGATCCTTTCAGGGCACATAATTTTATTTTTTTTTAATTTCTGATGGGGGGTTATATTTCCTTGAGGTACTTAATCTGTTCTTTTCTGGAATCTGATTTCTTTGACATGAATAGATTCCACAGCACTCTTGTCTTTTAACTGTTTTTCTCCTCTCACAGTCATTCATGCACCATTTCACCAGTCTGGTTTTACTTACCTTTCAATCATTTTGAGAAATACACTCGAAGTTATTTCCTTTGCCCTCTTAATTATAAATATATTTTTAAAAATACACCTTCCTTGAAATAAGGAAAAATTGCAGGTTTAGCATTATTTCCAGTTGTGATTAAACACTTAAAACACAGGGAGTATTCTGTCAAGACCATGGCAACTAACTCTGGCTTTTGTGAGTGAGACTTGATATCAGAATTATTACTGGATTGCTGCCAGTCTTGCATGTGTAAAAAGGCATCATTTAAGTTCTGTCACAGCAGGTCCAAGAGGAAACTTGAGATTTTGCTTTGTCTCAATAGTTAGATTCTCAAAGAAGGCCAAAGTGATCTGCTATGTAGTAGTGTTAATTCTAGATCAGCTGATATTAGGATGACTTACTCCACAATGTTTTCGGACTTAACAGTTTATTTCTGTTGCTATTGCCTGAGACATATCATAACATAGAGGCTGGAAAACTTTTTGCTTTGTATTTATGCAAGCAGTATGGCTTCTTACCAGCATCTCAGTATGGCGCCTTACCAGCATCCTGCTTGCTTTAAAAAAAAAAAAAAAAGCAGAAGAAAAAGGAATTGCACATCAGTCTGAAAACTGAATTTCCATCTGATTACTCCAGTGTTCATAAATAGCTGGTTTTCCGTGTGCAGCCTAAATGTGTATGTTGTTTTAATTTTAATCTTCGAAGTAGAAATTCTCATAGGAAAATTTTGTGGTTAGGGTTAGGGGTTTTTTCATTATGTAAATTAGTAATAATTGTATATGCAAGTGGCATGTCTGCTGTCATTTTTGGGGTCATAGAAAACCATATTGTCCTGTCATTACTCTAGCCCAGCGATCTGCATTCAAGACACGTGCTGAAGTAGTTCCAGTAGGTGGCTCTAGAGGACACCAGGGACAAACATTTAGTGTGATGTAAGCTAGATTTCTTAATTCAGTTCTCAGCTCATGTGGTTTCAGGCATTGAAAAATCCAGATCTGTTTTCCAAAAGGAATTAATTACATTTGAGATTATACCTCATTGCAAAATAAGGCTAATGGACTATGATGTAAAATGCAAAGTGATGATGGGTAAGATGCAAAGTTTTGTGACAGCAGTGAAAAAATTGGCCTAGCGCTGAGTGAGAGCATAAATGCACTCTGTACTTTATATAGCTGCAACCAGCTGCATATGCCATTGGTGACATGCAGATTATAGTGCTTGTACTCCCAGCATAGCTCAATGAGATGCAAAATACCATGCACTCTTAAGTCCCTTGTGCTTGGCAAGCTGAGAAGTTAGAAACACTAGGAAATTGAATGATACGTTGTTCAAGGTCATGCAATGAATCAATGTTAATTGTTGTTGAGTTTACATTCTGGGATCTCTTGATTCTTGTTCTTACATCTATTTAAACACAGATCGTCCACTGAAGACAGAGTAGTTTGTAGTTTCTGGTTTATGTTTCCATAATCGATTTGACATCATGAAAAACTCATTTGAGAGAGGCTATTTTTTTTTATGATTAGGGGAAGTGATGGTAATCAAAATCTGTGTCTTTTTTCTGGTCCTCTGAAGCTGCTTAAGTTAACCATTGTAGTTCGCATATACAGGCGTATTTAGTACCGGGAAAGAGAATAGTCTAATGCAGATAATAAGTTGCTACTATATTTTATATATCTGTTGCTTTATATTCTTGAAAGGAAGATTTCTTATACTCCAAAGTTTGATGTCTTCACTGGATGTTTCTAAGCTAAAAGCCTCAATACTGAAGAAAGTCTGAGTGTATAGTGTGATTTTAGCAGAAGGGTAACATGCTGTCATGAAATGGAGCTATGTGCTTTATAATCAGTTAGGATAACTTGATATTAATGTAAGAAAATAAAACGACATGCTGTGTTATTTGTGGTCAAGTTCATTTTTGCTAGTATAAGAGACAGAAAATACCTTTGCCTTTCTTGGTGGTGGTCTCCTGCTCTTCTGTTTCCTTGTAGCACAGCTACATTGGCATGAGTTCTGTCAGTATAGACCTATTACTACAGACCACTCTGTGCTGATGTGATTTGATTAAATTGATTAAAACTGTTGATGAGAACAGATGTCTCTGTAGTTTAAATTTGTAAAATTGTTACTTACTTTGTGGATAAGAATTTTTACATTGCCACAAATTCCTCAGTGCTTCACCTCAAATCTGCCACTTAGGCCAGGTACTTCCTGGCCCACTTCCATTAAAATGAGTTGTATTTCAGTTTAAATAGAAGATCTTTGTCAGTCTCTAATTTTGAGTAAAACTGGGCAGAGAGTAGTTCACCTGAACTGCTCCGCCAATATGATCTGCAGGCTGGGAGGTGGGGTGTTAAACTGGTATCTAGAAGATATCTAGAAGACAAGCATGTTAGAAGAGCAGAATACTTAACCATTTTTTGTCTAACACTGCTGTCTATTTAGAAAAAACTAGGCAAAAGGTGCTAATAAAGTGGAAAATAATTCAGATTTCTATACAGCAAACAGAAGAAAAATTACCATTATGTTTTTGTAACTGATATAGGTTAAATATAAATACTTATGTTCTAAAAAACCCCCCTTGTTTTGAGGAAAGTGGCTTGTGCACTAACGTGTTTAATATTCCTTTATATGATCAGCTTTGCCAGTCTAATTCTTGATGTAGGTGAATTCCTATGATGGATTCTGCAGATTCGTTGATAACGTTTTAATACGCGTTTATGAAAAGGGGAATTGTATGGTATAGCTTAGTGAAGAACAAAACAAATAGTTGTTCCTGAGGTAGTCATTGAGAGCGGTTGATAGTGAGCATCTTTGAAACAGATGTCAAGTACCGCCACCTTGATTGTATTCCAGGTTAGGCGTCAGAATCTTCGTTTTGCATCATGCCTTGCTAAAATTTTAATAGTAAATGCAAACAATCTTGTCTAATTAGCTGAACTCCTCCAGCATGGTAGACTCAATGCAGTTTCAAATGCTATTTTAAAAGGAGGAAAAAAGAAAATTTTGTGAACTGAGGGGGGAAAAAACCCTACAAAAATAGGTCCGGTTACAGAAGTGTATTCTCAGCATTTTTGTGTTCCTTGCGTAGAGCAGTGCCATACACAGGTATGTTCCTGCTGCTGGGGTTAAGTGGTTACTGCCCAGAAGAGGATGTTTTTAAGTTATCCCTTCTGTAGCCGAGAAGCAGGAGCTAACCACCTGACACTTGTTAGATTGTTTTCATGGGAAGTGAAGACTGGCCTGTTTGAATTGGCATTGGAAGGACAACAAGCGTTGTCATTAGGTCTGTTTCGTTTCTACTGCAGAGGTTGAGGAAGTGCATATCTGATTGTATTGTTAGACTTCCCAGCCTGTTTTTTTTTTTCAGAGAATAGTAATGATGGCAGATAGATTTTTATTATTTTTTTTAATAAGTTTCCTCTGAAACAATAATGAAGATAGTTTTAAATGCTGACGTGGGCAAAAAGAATCACTGAGCTTTCATTCTGGAAAGTCATTGAAAAGTATTTTATTTGCTGGATGCTAATACTTAAACTGCCTTTCAGGAGAGTTGTTTAAACAAAAAAGTAAAACTTCAGCAATATGCTTAATTTTATTTTTCAGGGATAGTTTTAATAAGAGCGGCAGCATTTTATGAGTATGATTTTCATCTGAAGCTACATGATGTACAGATGTTACCAGATACGCAAATTGCTTTTCATAATTTATTTTTTATTAAGATAGTGGTAAATAAGAACAGGAATCTTCAAAATTTTATTTCTGCATAATTAGTATAATGTCTTTTATCATTTGAGACTTATTTTACTGGGTCTTTTTTATGTTTAAATCTTGTTTGTGCTAGCAAAATGCACAGAACATATTTCTTGCCAGGTCATGAGAGTGTAGAAAACCTCCATCCGGGCAACTTTTATTTTTTTATTTATTTTTCTTTGTAATAAATTTCTTGGGAAAATTAGAGAATTACTAAATTAAGCTTTAAGTATTAAATGCTCTTCTTGATAGGTATTCTGAATTTATGTAAAGTAGGTCCAACTTCCTTGCATAAATTTTACGCATAGATCAGTTTTCTATCTGATTTTGACTTTATGGAGCTTTGTTTGATCTTGAAGTAGAAAAAAAAAATATTTGATACAGAAACAGTGGAAGGAAAGGATGTGAGAAGGCTATCGGCTGATGTTATGTTTGTTTTGAATCAAGTAGTCAGAAGAGTTTTAGTCTTCTCTTGTGCCCATACAAAATTCTTTTGATGTTCATTAAGTTCTGCAGAAGTTCAAGGAGCTCCTTTCCATGACCATTTGATTGCAGGACTCGGGTTGTAAAGTAGCATGGTGTATTAGTGAAATGCTGCTACATTGGAGAAAAGAATTCTAGATGAACTGGGCATAAACTTGATGTGAGTTATTAACATTTAATTGTTCTTTTTTTCATTTGTCTTTGCCTTTGATTATACTTAAAATCAAGCTTTTAGGTAGCTGACTGCTTGGTCAGTTCAGTTTCACTAATTCACGTGTTTTGATTCTTCAATAGAGGCTTACAGCTAATCCAGGAGGTAAGCAGCTCAGCAGACTGTCCATCATGTCTCAGCATCTCTGCACTGTTGAAAACTGTTTTGTGATTCCAGGTCAAGCCTTCGTTCCAAAGCCAGAGGTAAGGTTTGATGTATTTCTTTGGGATTTTTTGTTAATTTGTCAGTCAGGCAATATATCTGATTTTGAGTACAAAACACAGTTGGGTGCTTTTGTTCAACATCTCCATGCTATGGAATAATCTGATTGATATACCTGTAGACAAAGCATACTTGCTTCAAGAAGATGCTTGCGGTTTTTGTTCCTCAGAACTTGGCTTTGACCTTCAAGTCTATCTGCAAAATCAGTGTACTGCTTTGGGTGTTTCTGAGAGGGAGATTTGATTTAAGGGCAGAATAGTCTGCTAAGATTGTAGCATCTTTGGAAAGCTTGCTGTTTTACAATTTGCTTTCATAAATAGTTTGGGAATTGTACCTAGAAAATTTGATGGATCTTTTGAAAGACGCTGATAAATAAAAGCTTTTAATTTGTCATCTTTGTCAAAGATCTCTAATTTTACCGTGTCTATAATCTTTACATTTCACCTTACTCATCTTTAGCATATTTAACTCCCTCTTATTTGCTATAGCATTTTGTCATCTACATCCTACTGCCTGCTTAAAAAAAGTAACAATCTTTTCTATCTGCTCTTGAGTGAGTAGAGGAGAACGGTTTCTTTGCTGTCCTCTTATCTACTACCACTGGTTTTTATTAATAGCCATCGCGATTACAGGAATCAAGAATAAATAAATTAAACTGCATTTTCCATTTTGGACAAGAATGTATCTTCTACTTTTTTTTTTTTTTTTTACGGTAAAAGTTTGTGTCTGACACCAAGGGGGTCTATTACCCCTGACAGCACATGGAAATCTACTGTTCTGTTTCAGAAACGAACTTGCAGCTTCTGAAAGTTTCTCCTAAACTGATTGATTCAGCTCATCAATAAATCTCCCTTTCTCTTTACCACAGTCTATCTTTTGGTCTTTTTACTCGTATCTCTTGAGAAACTTCATTCCATCTCTCGTATCGTGGTGAATTTTAAAGCTGTTATCTGGGCATATTCTGATGATTAACATTCTGTTAGTATTTTTTGAGCAAATAACTGTTCAAATATGAAGTTATTACTCGTGACAGCAGCCTGTTGTGAAGAAAATTGACTATGCTTAAGACATCTTATTTTTTGATTTACATTTTTGGATTTATTTTTTTTTTCCCCTGTCTCCTAACTGATTGAAAAACAATTTCAGGGTGTCGTATCACTGTTAAATATCTTAAATAGTGTTTGGTAAGGCCAAAATTCCAATTTTGTGGTGCTGGTTTCTCAATGGTGGATACAATTTGAGGGCATAGTAGATCTAGTGTAGTTGAAAGTCTTGTGCAGACTGTGTCCCAGATTTGAGAAGCTATAACTGATATTCCCATTTGCCTGTACTGCAAAGGCCATAGCTGACTGAGAGGGTTAACTCAAAGAGTTGTGACAAATGGGTTTGTATAAGCAAATGCTACAGTCAGTGTTCTGTTGAATAAAAAAAGGCAGTACCACTAAAGGCAAGCATATTTTTATTTCTTTGACTTAAACCAAGTATTGCTTATATTGCAAAAGCAGAAATTACAAATTTTTCAGACAGACTTGGCATCTGTTTTCACTATATTTTGTTTCCTTCGAACTCCTGTTGTAGCTTAGTCTTCTGTTTTGTCCCTATTCTTTTAGCCATAGACTGGCATGTGGTTTTAGATATTACTGTTTCTTATAGAATCTTTGTTTTCTTGGAAAGCTCTTGCAGCGTATTGTGAATGAACTAGCTCAGTGCTTGATTTTATTTTTTTTTTTCCATAGGTATACAAAGAAGTTCAGGTACTTCTGTATAAAGTTTTAGGAAGAACAATTTGCTGCTTGTGTAGCCAATGAACACTTCATTTTGCTCGTAGTATGCAATTGTTACATTTTTCTTATGGCCTTCTGTATGCCTTTGGTTCTTATTTTACAAATGTTAGTTTTAATTCACATGCATAGCAATGATCACAGCTTAGTGTCATGTCAAACCCCTTACTGAAGGTGGAATGTATGTTTCTGGGACTGAGTTGTTTACTTAGTTCCACAATGCACGAATATTATTTCACCAATACCTGTGAATGTTGAGACGTAAAAGACGTGGCTTATGGAATGGAATGGTGCTGCACAGCATTTTGTCTAAGCAAAGGAAATCTGGCTTTTTGGTCATAGTCTCTGCAATACTGAATAACTGCTGATACTAGCATTAGTAGGAAACAAATTCCTTGATGAACACATAGGAAAGTCAAAATGGCTGCGTAACAGTAGTAATACAAGCAAAACGTAACTCCAGTCTCTGTATATTAGAATAAAGACTCTTCACGTATTAGATGCATAAACCATTTCACTTTCTCAAATGCTGTAACAGAAGATCTTCCTTTCTGCAGTGGACTATACATATAATGTTAAGGCCCCTTTATACTGTTTTAGTGAATTTCAGGCTAATAATACGGGAAATGAAAGTTGTATATAAATATGCAAAATAATAGCAGTTGGTTTTGTTGAAAGACTCATCCAGCATTGTCATATTTCTAAATTTCAAGGCCTATTCATATCCCCTTTTAATTTCCTTACTTATGCTAGCAAATTAACAAATTTGATTCTCGTTTACAGAAGCATTTAGATAGAACATACTCTGCCAATGACCAATATGAAACAAAATCTGTGTGTTGAAAGAAAAGGTTAAAGGATCTAAGACTATTAATCAAAACAAGGGGGTTAAGAAAATAAATTTAAATGAGGAAGCTGTCTTTTTATCACCATTGTATATTACGTTTTACAGTGATAGAATATATGGGAGTGGGCCTGAAACAGACTCTACTGGAATAACTAAAAGGACTTGAAGTTCTTTTAGAAGGCCAGAAACAGAAGACAATAAATGGTAGTTATTTGAGTTCTTAAAAAGATACTTTGAGCAAGTGTAAGCCACAAGGCTTCCAGATTTTTCTGAAACAGAGATATTTAGTTTGTATCCTGTGTGTTACAGTTTGCAGGTGTTTTCATAGTCATGGTTACATTTCTGTTGTTGTATTGCTCCTCAAATCTGACGTTCTTTGTGTAGTGATAGATTAGTAGCACTTGGAGAATGCCCAGTAGACATTTCTTTAACAATAATAAATGAAACCCACAGCAGGTGGCAGTTTGGGGTGGGAGAGTCATTTTTAGCATGATTTGAATGGTACTGCTGATTCTTCAGGCTGATATGCAGAATATACAATGCATCTAAGGTTTGGGGCTATGGGTGTTTGTTGTGATTTTTTGTTTTAGTTTGGTTTGTGTGTGTTCTTTGTATTTTGTTTGTTTTTTTAAGAAATTTAGTTACCAAGGCAATCCACAACTGAAAATCAAAGGCAGATGTGTCAGTTACTTAAAAACCATTGAATTGGGCTTCTTGGACAGAGAGCAGTTAGGTTTTTTTGTCCTTGCATCACAATTAAAATAAAGATAAAAATGAAAAACACATGATAAAACTTCACATGTTACTGATGGCCTAATTTGCTAAATAGAAAGCAGTTAGTTTTTAAGCATCTTTGCTGTAACAAGCCATCAGTACACCAGTTGTACTGTCAGTTATGTTTTAATATAGTTTGTCTGTCTTCAATAGATGTTACTTGGAAAGTAAAAAAGAATGGTTTGAAAAGTCAGCGAAGAAAAGTACTCTTGTAGCAGACTTAAGCATTGTTTCTTACTTCATTCTTTTTGTGGATGCCGCTATAAACGAAATACCTTACTTAAACATAATTGCAACCCAGATGTAAGAAAAGTTAAGTGCTCTGTTACACGTTCTTTGAAATAATCAAACTACGCCTAACACCAAAAAAAAAGCCTCAATGGATAGAAATAGCTGTATTTACACATAGTCCTTCAGGTTGTAACCAGCGTTGCTCTCCTGCTCTGTGGATGGGAAATGGTGCTGTTCTGGAGGGTAAATCCATGCTCCTTGCTGCTTTTTAAAACAGGAAGTGCAGAAGATCACACCTGCGATAAGCAGAAACCCAGCTGAAATGAATCCTGTATAAACCGCTCCTCCTGGTTCATGTTTACTGCTCTCTGGAATGGTCTGGTCCAGAAAATTTGAAATAATTTCTCTCGTGTACCAGGATGTTGGTACCAATCCAAAGATTCCTGCAAGAATGAAGCAGACTCCTCCAGCAAAACAAGCGTGGCTTTTGCTATCGGGGTCCCCTCCCAACTTTGTACATTTCATTCCAACTGTAGTGATGCAGATCCCAAAGGCTGATAGGATACAAGACAGTACCATGGTGGTCCGTGCTGCCTGGATGTAGACGGGAAGGGAGAGAACGGAATATTTCAGGGTACAGCTGAACATCCCAGTGCTGTACCATGTGCAGTCCATCCAAAGTCCTTGCATCTGTGTTATAGCTGTTATGATATTTGAACCAACGTCTGCATTTACCTTCCAGTTTGGTAGCAAGGTAGCTGCGATGTCTCCAAAAGCACCAAACAAAGCCAGAATAAAAGCAAAGAACTGTAGACTTGCTGATGCCATGATGATTATCTGCTGTCACCTTTTCTCTGCCTGTTTCTCTCTTGTAAACGGGTGTAACTGGTTGGTAGCTTCGTAGCCAAGGCTGTAGCCCTCTGTGTAATAGGGAGGAGGCGGGGTGGGGGCGGGGAGGAGAAGTGCGTGGGGGAAAGAAAAAGAAATCAGCAAACAAAAAGAGCTTGCATTTAAAATTAGGGCTATCTGAATGAATATCTGAACATGACCCTGCAGCAGATGAGAGCAGCTGAGCAGCTGTACACAAGGCACTTGAACATAAATGATGGCAAAATGGACAGTGTTTTAGAATTGCTTGTAAGAAGGAGCTGCTGCCCTTTCATACATGATTACAAGCCATCAAGCAAAACTTACTTTACTGGAGTTATTTTTGGTAATAGTATACAGATTGCAGGCTTACTAGACAAATATACATTGTAAATGGAACACCAGAAACTTGCAGATTAGAAGTTATTTTGGAAAAACACTGTGGTGGAAAATATATTGTACTTTTAAAATACCTTCCTTA